CCCTGAGCTATGCATAGAGTTATGCTTGAGAGCGGGGCCGCACATTCTGCCCCGATTCAGACCCCTTGAGTTTTCTATGTATGTCTTTGAGAGGCTAGAGCATACTGTATCTGTGAGAACATAAAAGGGGAATAATAGGGCAGAGGAGGCATTGAGAATACTCGTATAGCCGCCGTGCGTGCCGCCCAACCCAAGACTGATTTGTCCAAGCCGGGCGCTCGCAGTGGGTTCAATTGGGTCTCGTCTCGTTTCAAAGGAGGGTCTTCCGTCTCTGGGCCGTAGGTTCGCCGCACAAAAAAGACGAAAGACAGAGGGTCAGTCACCCAGTCATGGGCTGACATGCCAGTCTTTAGGCAACCGAATATCACCTTTGGGGGCAGTGCAAGGAAACGAAAACGACCCTTCATTGGAGCGCGGCCGGCGCGGACCAACGCTGCTAGAAGCTGTCAGGGCTGCCAGAGTTGTCACGGACTCACGGTTTGTTCCCCTCTCCCAGAGTGCCATCCCTCCTCAGCTTGACAAGGGGGGAGAGAGGTACCGGCATTGGCTGGTCAGGAACGGCCGGCTTGGGCCGTTCTTGGTGCCATGGCGGCCCATGAGCCCCGTATCCCATACGCAGGTACGGCGGCTGGAATGTGATGGGATTGGATGCGTGATCGCCGTGGGCATTCCCATCTCACATCATCTTCAGGTGGAAGAGCTGCCAAGCTATCACTGGCCAGTGATTTCGCAGTCTCGCCGCTTCTGAGTTCTCCTCCAGGTGCGGTGCTAACTTTTAGGCTGTAGATAGCCCCTGGATTCAGACTGACTCCTATTCCAGCCGCCGTTGAAAGAGTCGTTGGAGGCGCTGGAACATGGACCAGAACCCTAGGGAAAGACATTCTGCTGCCGCTACAGATTCTCGGGTCTGTCGATTGTTTCCGTACGAGCAAAAGCTCGAGCTTGGCTTGAACTGTTCAGGCCCACAACCAAGCTTGCTTCGCCTCCCCAGCTATGCCGATTATGTACAAAGTGCAACGAGGGGGACACGAATAAGGGAGCGGCAATGTCACTGACGGATCGAGGATGTGCACAAACCGAACGGGAAATTGAAGCTTGGCAACAAACCACCCTTTTTTTCGTACCTCTCTGACTCTCGTCGCCAATCTATCGGGTCTCTCTCTCGTCTAATCTATCCGTAGAAGAGCGACCGTGTGCCCTGTCCCCCCCGTCCGAGTCTCTTTCGATCATGCAACGCTGTTTTCTGTCTTTCCTTTAAACAATTTGACGTCGAAGTTCCAGTATAGACAACGAGGAGCTATTCGACGTTGAAGGGGAAGAATCCTCTCACTCGCTTCGCCTCTTCTTTCCCTCCCCACCTTGCCCAGTTGCCCCCTTCCACTCTTTCAGGGGACAACCGTGGAACCTTAATTGGACCCTTTTGAGCTCATCGGATGATTCTGCACCGCGTCCAACTATCGTGAGTAGAGACACACTCTCGCACACGCACATACCGAAGGGACACGCGAGGAAGAAAGAAAGCTTGAAGCTTCAAACGTCGCCATCGTAGAGTGCTCCCAATCGCAAGCTGACGATGCCTGCGACCAGACACCTTTGAAGGGCAATAACATTACAAACACCACACATTCGTTACAACTAAACATAAAGCAATAATCATGAAGCTCACCCAAGTCGCTCCTTTTCTCATATACACCCTCCTCGCCGCCCTCCTCCCCTCCTCCGCATACGCCGACCGCATCCTCCAGTCCTCGTCTCTCAACAACTGCCAAAAGAAATCCGACTTCTCCGCCAGCTTGTTCAACGTCGTCGTCTCCGCCAACAATGGCTCCGTCATGGCAAACATTGCCGCCGTCGTCTCGGTGGAAGGCAAGGCTGTCTTCGACGTCGCGCTGCGCATCTACGGCTACGACTACCTGAAGATGACGATAGACCCGTGCACCATGGACCTCCAGGGCCTCTGCCCGATGAAGCCCGGCAAGATCGACATGGAGTTCTCGTTTGAAATCGGCGACAAGCTCGACCAGGTGCCCGGTATCGCCTACACCATCCCCGACCTCGACGCCACCATCCGCGCCATCGTCAACCTCACCGAGACGAACACGACCGTCGCCTGCGTCGAGGCAGACTTCTCCAACGGTAAAACCGTCGATCTCGTGGGCGTCAAATGGGCCACCGCCGTCATCGCCGGCCTCGGTCTCGGGTCCGCCGGCATCATCTCCGCCATGGGCCATACCGATGCCGCCGCTCATCTCGCCGCGAACGCCCTCTCTCTATTCGGATACTTCCAGGCTCAGGCCTTTGTCGGTCTTTCAGGCGTCGATATGCCGCCCATCGTACAGGCGTGGACGCAGAACTTCCAGTGGTCAATGGGTGTCGTCAGGTTGGGCTGGATGCAGACCCTCTGTACGTGGTACCAGCGCTCAACGGGCGGTGAGGCGGCACGACTATTCGATTCGTTGAGCGGTATCTCGGTGCAGGTCTCGAAGCGCTCGCTCGACATTGTCAACAGCATCGGTCCCGTCAAGCGCGGCATCAACGCCATCGCGAAGCGTGCGAACATCCTCCAGGACAACGGCTCCTACGTCGTCTACGGCATCCAGCGCGTGGCTTTCAAGGCAAAGATCGAATCGACGAACCTGTTCCTCACCGGCCTCATCGTGTACTGTTTCTTCATCATCTTTACCGTCCTCATTATCGCCGCGTTCCGATACGGTACCGAGATCGCGGTGAAGCAGGGATGGTCCAAGAAGGACCGCTTCGTCGAGTTCCGTCGCGACTGGAAGACAACCCTCAAGGGCGTCCTATTCCGCCTCAATCTCATCGGCTTCCCGCAGATCGCCGTACTGTGCCTGTGGGAGCTCACCCAGATCGACTCGGCCGCCCTCGTAGTCCTGGCCGTCTTCTTCTTCCTCGGCACCCTCTTCACCCTCATCTGGGCCTCGTGGAAGGTTATCCTCATTGCCAAGCAGTCGATTCTCACCCACCAGAACCCCGCGCACGTTCTTTTCTCGAACCCCCAGATCATTAACAAATGGGGCTTTCTCTATGTCCAGTACCGCGCCTCTGCGTACTACTTCATCATCCCGTTCATCGCCTACATCTTCCTGAAGTCCGCCGTCATCGCGTTCGGTCAAAAGGCCGGCGTCGCCCAGGCCATCGCCCTCATCGTCATCGAGGCCGCCGCCCTGATCGCCGTCAGCGTCCTCAAGCCATTCATGGACAAGAGCACAAACTCCTTCAACATCTCAATCTACGCCATCAACTTCATCAACTCCGTCTTCCTCCTCATCTTCACAAACGTATTCGACACCCCCGGCATCGTCGTCGGTGTCGTCGGCGTAATCCTCTTCATCGTCAACGTCATCTTCGCCTTTGTCCTCCTTCTCATGGTCCTTATCTCCAGCATCCTCGTCTTCTGGCGCGTAAAGGGCCAACCGACCGGCACCGGCCCCACGCAGCTCAACGACCCCTCCATCCTTGCAAAGGGCGACCGCACCGAGGGCAAGTCGCTTCTCGACCTGGATGAGGACGACAAGGTGAACCCGTACCGCCGCGAGTCGCTGCGCTACGGCGAAGAGAAGGCTACCGAGAGCGGCATGAGCCTGCACGTGTCCACGTCCACGTCGAATCTCAACAGCAGAGGCGATACCCACGAAATGTCATATCTGCCCTCGCCGGGCTCCAGGCCAGCCGTGAGCCCGTCGGTGCCCATGTTCCCCGCCGACCGCTCATTACGATCTCAAAGTCCTGCCCCGCCGCGGTCACCAGCGAGCGACTTCCCCCCGCCGAGTCCGTTTGGGAATGGATCTGCACGCAGTATCCACGAGTTTCGATCCCAAAACAACAATAGGTGAGTTATCCTTTGCTGGAACCAGTCTCTTGTCCTCCTTACTAATCATCTATGCACAGTCCATGGCAGCGCGGTGCTGGATATGATCATTGAGGATTACAGATAATAAGGGCACATTCGCCAGACGTTCATCTTGTCTCTCTTTCCTTTTTCTTCTCGTTACCGTTTACATCACACTTTTCCGGGGGCGTTATATAGAGTCTCATCTGGAAACCTGCATCAGCAAGCGTGCATAGAAAAGAACACCATCTACTTTGTATAATCGGGCGTGATTGCCGAGGTTTCCCCTGAACAGCCACATCTGAGGAACTGCGCAGGATCCATTCACCCTTATGCCTAGACTTGAGAAAGCTTACGCTAATCAATCGAAAAGGCCCATGAAACTGTAACATGGGTTTTAATCCCTTCTTGTACCGTGTTATTGTGTGTTCAAGGGCAGGATAGCTCCGACCCCTCATCCTATCTTCGCGGGGCACCAACTACGGCACCTGCCAGTGATGTGAGTAGATGTTAATCGGAAATATCGAGAAGAGCACCAGCAATAACGGATAAGCTTTGGTTACAGACAGACCTCCGTCGCAATTCGGCGCGGCGAAATACTCCCGGTTACAGCCCCAAGAAGCGTGACATAATGGCTTCGTACTACTCGACTACGTGATGAAGTCGTGTATCATTTCCAATGCAGCTAATGCCCGCTTCAGTCGTGCTGGAGGTTAGGAGACTCTTCTCCGGCTCGATGGAGGTGTGACCCGCAATCTCATCAGTGAAACCCGCCCGAACTGTGATCATTGGCAACTTGGATGCTGTGGTGCAACAGCCACTCCCGCAAATTTCCACATTTTGACCCAGTGCTTGACGTCACTGAAGACACATTATACACGCCGCGATTGTGACGCTCGATTTACGCAATGCACATAATGATAACATCATATTCGATGGTAGCCGTGGAAATTAAAAGACGAATAATATGTATTATCAATATAGTTTAAATACATGTACTGTCATCAATACCTCATAATCAAGAGTCACTTTTGTCCTAGCTCTTGACTTCAAGCTCTCGAAATACTCTTTCCATATACATGAGCAGAATCTTCCACACACATCTCAACTCGTCAACTTCATTCTTCAAAAAGGACGTTCTTTCTCCAATATGCCTCAATACCAGCCTCAAGCCGACACCATTAGTATGTTAAATTCCTGCCATATCCTTCGTGGCCGGGGCCGAATACTGACGATGAACAGAGGACCCTTCCAGCAAGGCTGAGGCCAAGCAGCAGATGGCACAGCAGCAATACGAGGAGAGGAAAGAGCACTCGAAGAGCGGTGCAAACACGCAGACGGGGCACCATGCAAACATCGTCAAGGAACCTAAGCAAGACTGAAGTATCGTTGCTTGGGACATATTATTACAGGTAAAAGCGACAGCATGCTTTCTGTTTGACCGTTTATCTTCACTCGGTTCTTGTGCTTCGCATCGCTAGGATGTTACGAGGCATGGTTGTCATCATATCTCATTCAAATCATTGATCAAGTATTATTATAAAATTGCGATTCACTGATGTAGTCGAAAAGTGACTTTCTTCTAAACTCCTCTCATCTTCGAGCCCCTTAAAAATACGGCTGTTATGAGCAGTTGACATCGGATGGGCACCGCCCTCGAAAACTCTTACATCATTGCCTATAGCTTGAACTGAACCTTCGTGCGCCTGGAAGCGAGCTTAGTCCGAGGTCCTTCCTGTAACAGCTACAACAATCCTATGCAGCCTTGGCCTTTTCTACCTAGAACTGATATGGCTTGCAGGATTCATCAATGACTGCATCTTATACGTTGGAGACCAAGCTGTGGTTGTGCCAAGCATAATCCTGCAATCCTTCAAGCGCACCTTCCTGGATCAGACAAGCTTCGGGTAAGACCAAGACTCAGGCTCAGATTGCAACATCTTATAAGTATCTATGCACTTGATGTTTTCACTTTATCATTCTTTCATCAACGAAGGTACTAGTCTTCAACCCAGCCCCCAGTATTTCACTCACCCTTACAAACCCTCCTGCGGAAATTTTGTTAGCCCAGCCTTGGCTTCCGCTTGCCGCCCTTTCTCCAGATTCTGTGCCCTACACAATCTTGTAAGTGTGGCTCCCAGGTCGTCGTCAACTTCCCCCCTCGTCTGTCGCTAACATATGAGAAAGCTCAACGGTCAATATGGTGAAGATCAGCCTTGCTCTTCTCGTAGCTGTGGCATCAGCTGCTCTCGCCGCTCCTGAGGCTATCGGTGCTCGCCAAGCCGCGGGGTGTCAGCCTTCCGAGACTGTTTGTCGTGATGGCTGGGCGTGGTGTTGCAGTGGCTCAACTTGCTACGAGTTCGCTCCTCCTACGGCCTGCTAGGCGAATGCGACTACTTGTTGAGATGAGATGGTAAAACCAGAGAGGATCAAGCTGATGGTATGGACTTGGATCTCATCTGAGAAAGTCATTGAGAATGGATAAATTGAGACTCCTGCTAAGATCATTTGAGATCGAATATGAACTTCTCGATTACAGCGGTGCACGGGATGCCATGAGTTCCGAATTCAACCATACGCAAGAGCGAGCAGGATAGCCCATCAGTCTTCTTCATAACACAACATCTCATTTCCATAGATTATACAAGCTTACGTCTCAAAAGTACACATGACAGACGCCACAAAGCGTGTAAATAATGACGTGATACAAAGACTCATAGGTCGACCAACCAAATTTCCAAGAATTCCTTTTCATACATTTACAACTCACGCAACGGGCTTCTGAGCCATGAAGACGTTCGCTGGGAAAATGCCGCCCTGCTCAGTCATCTCCTTTGTGTATCTCTCCTCCAGGCTGGTATAGATTACCGGATCCATATCAGGAACCAACACTACATTTGGTTAGTGAGGGCCGGCTTACGGCAAAGACAGCTTATTTCTAGTCAACTCACTTTGGGCGTTCCTGGCGACAAGCGGAATGGTGTGCATGAAGGGCTCGATGGAAGATTTGACGGCGGCCTCGTCGCCATGCACTTTACCAATCCCACACTCCACTCGCTCGACCTTGACGTTTTGGAGACCGGCCACCTTCATTGCCTCTGGAATTTTGGACGCGTATTTGCGATCCATTCCCTGCTTCTCAAACATGGTCCCAATGATGTGAATGAGATCCTTCAGTGACTGGGGTTGGTTCGGCTGGTCTGGACTGATGTCCAGCTCCATAATCTGCAACCAGCCTCCCGGGGCCAACGTATCTTGCATCAGTTAGACAAGAACGCGCGCAACCCATCAAACAGCGGCCCGAACCAACGAATTCAACAGCCGATGACTTACCGGCGAGGTTTGCGATGGCCTGCTCAATGCCGGACCGGTGGGCGCTGTGGAGAACATTGCGAACGTGGGTCAGATCGAACTGGCCCTTTAGATCCCCGGCCGGTGGATCGCAAACGTCGTGGGTTACGTAGCGGATGTTGCCCTGAGCTGACGTGGGCAGGAAAATGGTTGAAACATCGGCGCCGACCATGTGCGCGGATGGTGGAACCTGTTTCTGCAGGTCCCGTAGTAGGGTTCCTGTGATATCGCGTGTTAGAGGTCCCATTTCACAGTGCAGTCAAAGATTGAGATACCGTCGGCGCAGCCCATGTCGAGAATCCTGAGCCCGCCATTCGTGGTATTCACTGGCGCGAAAACGATCTTATCTTTGAGGCACATCTGGATCCAACGATGCTGGACTTGAAGGCGCGTCAGCTCGGCTTGGACATCGCCGACCATGGCTAGGTACTGGTTATCGGCTTGGCCATTCTGTCCGGTCTGGCTACTCATGTTGGAGTTCGTTCTGAACGTGTGTGTATTACGATTCAATAGAGAATGGATTGGGATGCTTTGCACCCTGAAGCCATCAAGAGCTCCACGGAGGACAAGATGATTAAATGCAACCTCACCGTCCCATCTTCAACCGATCACAAGCTCTCTAGTGTCTGCCCAACATACGTGATCGGCAAATTTAACAAGCTGGCAAGCTCTTCGTGTAGACTGGAGTCTAAGGCTACTGGTATTCTAGAAGGCGTTTGTGAAGGTGGTATAAGATCTAGATTTCGTAGACTTCCGCATTTGGCTCATTCCGAGTTATGCATAATGTCTAGAAGACATTAGCATGAACTCGAGTCACTGGCTGACAGGTCGACTCAGCAACAACTGAACACTAAATCTCTACTGGCAGGAGGGGGAGATAGGGATATCATGAAGGCCGAACAGGCGAGCCTCGCGTATTTATCGCGTGACGATTGCGATTGCGATAGCGATGTTAGACGCGTCAAGTTACAGATATCACGAACACGATGAGATCCGATAATATCATTGATACTTAGTCTCCAATGACGAGCGCGGCAGGACGAACTCGTGTGGTTCAAATGTGGCGGCTGATATGTGGATGCAGGGCGGATGACGGCGTCGATATGTTCTGGAACTTGACGTGAGGGAGGGTAGGGACGGAGTTGCGGGTTCTGGGTGCGGGCCATCGCTCATGTTTGCTTCTCCGAGACAGCACAATTAAACATGTGTCTGCCAGATTGAGCCACGCATCAGACTACAACCAGTCGCAAGTTGTACAGAGGCAAAACGTGGAGAACTGCCGAGGTTTGTTTCTTCTGGTACGAATACGGAGCCGATGCCAGGTGGATGGATGAATGGATGGATGATGGAAGTTTTGTATCCGTAATTGACTTCGGGAATAGAGGCCCGCCCGGCGTGCTCCCACTCGGGACCCCGTGCGCCGTCCGGTGTCTCCCGGCGAAGATCAGGAACGAGAACGACTGAAGATTCAGACATATCGATGCCATTCTTCGGGCGATCCAAGTAAAGTAGTTTCTTCAATGGCCTCTCACGCAACTCAACTCGATGCCGTGATTTTGGAGGGGGAAAACAGATGGGCTACAATACTGTGTCACATCGGCCGAGCCAAGCGGGCGATCCATGCTCCTGCGCCGTGCGTATCTGCGTATACTTGAAACAGTTAGGCCCAATCTTGAGTTAAATAAGCAAAGTCACGCCATCCCTGGGCAGCGTGCAAAGAGCCGAGGGTTACAACACCGTAGACTCCCGTGGGAGATAGGCACATCATTGATGATAGGAAGGGAGGCAGGGCCAAAGAGGCACAGCTGGAGGCCAAGCAAACATTTACTGTAGGGCTGTTTCCATGTCTCTTTTGCAAATCTCTCTGTGCATGGCGAGCTTCCTTAAGCGAGTCAGTCTAGCTGATCCCGCTCACACCTTCCTGCAATGACCGTCCGAAGATCCGAATCTCTCATGCTCATTGGCTCCACTTCAAGACATTCAAGGTTTTATGATTGATTAAGACTGTCACAATCTTACAGAGTACAGACACAGAACACTCATACAGTCACGTCAATCCGTGGCTGTTGGTGTGCCGTGCCGTGCCGGGCCTTTTTAATAAGCCTCGGGGACCCCCTCATCCGGCCATCATCAAAGCGTTTCGAGTTCCTGTGTTCGTGTCCTTCAGTCCCTACGACATCGACGAGAGTGTTCGGTTGAGCTGTCCCGCCTCGCCTTCGAGTTGACCTCGACAAATATACACATTCCTTCCTTTTGAAAAGACCGCGAGAAGCGTCGCAATATCCCACAGACAAGATGAAGACATCCATCGCTTACATCATCGCCGCGGCCCTCTTCGGAGCTACGCAGGCTGCCATCACCCCGATGAACAACATCATTCGTCACGAGTACAACCTCAACGCCAGAGCCGGTGTTCACGGCAACATTGAGAGAGACGAGCCCGCCATTGCCCCCGAAGGCGATGTTCTGCAGCCCATTGTCTAAAGAGTCGGCGCTTCCATTGACACGACACACCCAAACACGAGCAATTAACGTCGCCCCGTTTTCAATTGTCGGACACGGGTTCGAGACGGTTCACTTTCTGCCCCGCAGCTTTGGCCCCCAATCTTTGAGGGCCTCACACTACGATCGACTTTCAACTTCAATTCTACGCATGCTTTCAGACATGCGATCTAGGGTACAGCGATGAGGAGTTTAGGCGGAGACTGAGATAGGAAGTGGGCGTTTGAAGGATTCTTTTTGACGGGTATGGAAAACATTTCGAGGACGAGAGCAAGACCAAGGGATCGGAAGGACTTTCGGTTGGCAAGGATATTCCAAGGCAAAGCGAGGAGCGCCGGCTTAACGGGTTGAAGCCGCGATGAATGCAAACTTTTCAAGCCAAACCCCTACTTCTCTGCGCGTGCACATTTTGATGATCCTTCGACTCCACGGGCTCGGTAATGAGGCAGTCGATCACCTGGTGAACTCCCACGTGTAGTTCCACACTTGACGCCCGTCAACGATAAGCTCATAGTCTACCGTCCATCGGCCCTCCTCCGACGTGTCAAACGACACCCGACCAAACTTTGAGTTTCCCCACGGGTGCGAATACACCGAGACGTCTGTGTCCTCAATCTGTCTATGGAACCGATCGAAGGGTTCATAGAACTGGTTCAAGGGCGAAGTGGAAAATTCAATCACAGACTTACCACCCTTGTCGCTAGTGGGCGGAAAGATCGTCGTCGCGTGCTCATGCCTGTCCTAGTCAAAAAGAAGCAAAAAATTAGCTCAAGCAAACTATTGAAATCTTTGGCAGGGTCGATCAAACAGAGACCAGCTTACTCCACTCAAGATGATAGCTCCGTCCGTTTGTCTCATCATCTCCAAGATCATGTCTCTCTCCCACAGATATCCCGACCAGCTATCGGCCGAATCGGGGCCCCTCCAATTTCGCGTGAACGGGACGCTGCTGACAACGACTTTCCACGACTTTTCTGTTTCAAGCCACTTTCGCAGGTCCGCTAGCTGCGCCGCGCCAAGCATCGTCTTCTCAGGCCCGTCCGCCATGTTTTCAGCCCATCGATAGCGCCGCGTGTCTAGGACGAAAAACGAAACGTCGCCCCGGCGGAAGGTGTAGTGCGTTTTGCCGACGCCATACTGCGAGGGAGGGTTCGCGTGCCCTTGATAAGACCAATATGGCTTCATGGCGGACTGATAGAGACCTGTCTCGTTCGCCGCCCAGTCATTGATGATCTCATGGTCGTCGTAGACGTGCAGCCACGGCACAGATCGAAGCGCGGGTGACCAGCTGGGCGAGGCATAGACTTGACGGTATGCTGTGGTGTAGTGCTCTGGAGTCCAGCCGAGGGCCACTGGCAGGTCGATGTAGATGAAGTCGCCCAGGAAGAGCATCATGTCTGGCTGGTTCGCCGAGACATGCCGGTCCAAGTACTCCAGTCCTTTGATGCGCAAGCCATGATCCAAGGGGTTGTAAGGGTAGAAAGGCTTGATGCAGCTTGTGGAGATGAGACTCCATCGCTTTGGCGAGAGGGCTGCAGTCCTGAAAGATCCGGCATGGCTGGCATTTGTGGTGTAGGTGTACGGCGTGTCTGGCTCCAGCCCTTCAAGCAAAAACGTCCCGGTATGATCATTGGAATCAGCGATGACGATTGTCTGCGACTTAGTAACCTGGTCATCTCCCTCCGAAGGCGCCCAACTGATCTTGACGTAGTTTGTATGGAGAGCTGGCGCTCTTACAACGATCCGCGCCGTACCTTCATCCATGTAGCCCATCCGAGAGAAGGAGAGATCGTGACTCTGGTGGAGTACGCTTCCTCTGTAGATGAAGTCCCATACGGCTCCAAGTGACAGGATATTCAACATGACCGTGACCAAGGATGTAACCGGCGATGACCGGTTAACCCAACCCAAGAGTAGAAGCAGCCATGGGTGTTGTTGCCTAGAGGCCCGCCGTGAATTGGGCAACAGGAGCCTAGCAACTAGAGAGACTGCATACAACGCGCAACTCCCATAGATTCGATTGAGATATCTCTTTCCAAGTGGATGCTATTTGCTTGTCAGAATACGGTTCATCGATTCATAAGGGGCAAGGGAAAATATGACACATGTCAAGACTCACGAATCTTGTGAACAGGATTGCCAACAACCTAAGGCTGAGAGCTGCCACTGCCGTAATGGCGTCTAAGACACGAGTGAGAACCATATCGAAGTCTTCGCTCTGATAGAGTTGTGAATTTGCTAGGTTGACGAGACTCGAGATGAGATGTGTTCCAAGCCTGTCAAACTCACGAGACCATACACCGAGTTTGAGTTGACAAATCGACCCCAGACGTTGACAAAGGCGAACGTCCAAGAAAGGGCGCTCAAGATTAGACTTTCTGCCTATTCAATCTATGGACCCGGAACCACGGCCATGGTACTCGAAGTGGATTTGAAGGATGAACACTCTCCCCATCACCACGTCGCGGACTTCCAATTATCAACACACGTGCAATGCCAGTGCCGTCACTCATGGCCGGGAACAATCAACCTCGTTATGGACTCTGTCAGGCCGTCATCCCGAGCCAAGTGCATCTTCTCAACTGAAAAATGTTCCTTATCACTTCCCGGATGAGCAGAGTCGCCTCCGGGAGCATACCGGTGGGCCGCGGCGTCGGGACCCCACTCCGATGGACGTCTTAGACGATCGCATTTCACCACGTGGGCGTCCGAGGCCCGTGGGATGACAAGTTTTCTCACCCGAAGGCGGAGATCCACCGGGAGGAAAATATGACGGCCAAGCTCCGAGCACAAACTTCACACACTAATCAAAGCTTGTTCTTACAGCGTCAGAAACGTAGTTGGTAATGGATCTAGAAAATATAGCCTGAATAAGGTGAGGCGACTACAACTTATTCCTCCAGTGTGCACCCGGCGGCTCCCGCATCTCGGACATCTTCCGGTTAACTTAGCCTTCGGCCCCGATCTCGACTGCGGTGTTCATGCCGGAGCACGTGGTCGAGACAACGTATTGAATGGTTGAGGCAACTGCTTTCTTCCTTCTTAATGCCGATAGTTCGGCAAAATGCTTTTGTACGAAGGAGAGCCTAGATGAAGGAATGCAATAGCTTGAGTTTTCGAGTGGATGGCTTCTTGACCCATACGCGTCCCAAGAATTTGGTTCGAAACAAGGATTCCACGTGGTAGTCTGCGAGGCACTCAGAATCAGCGTACATCATGCATTCGCGGTACTTATAACCAGGCAAACCGCGCTCGGTGCTTTTGTTGCAGCATACTTCTAAGTCATCGTCGACCACAAAGTCATCCAACATGGAGTCCACGCCAGCCTCGGTATTCGACACGACTGACCATGCAACCAAGAAGGATGTCGGAGTCATGGTATCGTCCGAGAGTGACATTGCGTCATCTCAAGAGCCTACTCCTGCCAGAACCGCTGGGAAGCTCGACGTGCTGGTCCAAGGTGTCGCCTTGTTTTCCGATGGCTACAACATTCAGATCATCGGATACATGAACACCGTTCTGGCTAAGCTGTGAGTCTGCCATATGAGCAACAAATTTCTTTTTGAAGTCAACGTTTGACTGACAAATGTCAACAGTTATCCGAAACAGATGACGACTGCCGTGAAGACAAGGCTTTCTAATTCCATTCTCATTGGCGACATCTTTGGCATGCTCATCTTCGGTCTTTGCATTGACAAGTTTGGTCGGCGAGTTGGAATCATTCTGACTACTCTCTTCTTGGTTTTGGTTCGTTGACACCTTCGATATGATCGGTCAAAGGAGATTTATCTTATCGAGAGCTATTACTGATAGCCAGCCAGGGCATCGTCATTGCTACTGCTGCCCATGGAGCCTCCATTGAGGGAATGTTCTGGATGATGGTAATCGGCCGCGGTGTTGCGGGTGTCGGTGCTGGTAAGCAACCTTAGCTGGCCGTAACGGGAGGTTGAAGACTGACAGCAATGCAGGAGGAGAGTACACAGTCTGCACCTCGCAGGCTCTGGAGTGTGCCGACAGCACAGAGGCCATGCGCAGGAGACGCGGAATGCTCGTCGCAGTTTCCACAAACGCCGCAATCATCTCTGGTTTCGTCGGATCTAGTATCGTCTCTTTGATTGTCATTGCTGCGTATAATGGTCAAGCAAGTGACGGAATTTGGCGCATTTGCTTTGGAATTGGAATTTTCGTCAGTCAACCCAGCTCGACGGGTGCTAACCTTCCAAGTATATGGGAGTAAACTGACCATCTTCTCAGCTCCCTTTGGCGATCTTCTTCTTCCGCTTACGGCTCGTCGATTCACAGCAGTACCAGAAGCACGCCATTCAGCGCAACATTCCGTATCGTCTCGCCATCAAGTTCTACTGGAAACCACTCCTTGGATGCTGCAGCGCATGGTTCCTCTACGACGCCGTTGTATACCCCTTCAACCTTCTTGCACCAACTCTTGTCTCCGGCTTCTCCTCCCAGCAGACAATGATCCAGTCAATCGGCTGGTCCGCCCTAATTAATGCATTTGCCCTTCCCGGTGCCTTCATCGGCGCGCTACTGATGGACCGCATTGATCGCCGTCAGACTTACGCCCTGGGTTGGGCCATCGTCTGCGTCTTCGGATTCGCCATTGGCGGCAGCATGATTCAGCTCAATAACGTATTCCCGCTCTTCGTCACCTTGTACGGCCTCTTCCAGACCTTCTTGTCTGTTGGCCCTGGAGACTGCAACTTTTTGGTCTCGAGCGAGTCCTTCCCTACACCGCTTAGAGGTCACTTCCTCGGATTTGCTGCCGCCGTAGGCAAGGCAGGGGCTGCTATTGGCACGACTGCGTTGAGTGCGGCGCTTGCGAGCTTTGATGAGAAGTTGAAGGGACAGCAGGCGATCTTCCTCATCGGGAGTGGCATTTCGGTCGTGGGTACTCTTTGTGTGTGGTTCCTGATTCCCGACGTAAGTTGCCTTTGGTCTTCAATTTCATCTCTTCTGCTGGATCCATCTAACCGTTCACTAGGCTCCGAAGCATTTGGAAGACGAAGACGTTCGTTTCAAGAAGTATCTTGAAGCCAACGGCTATGACACGAGCCAGATGGGTCTCAAGGCGTAGTATTGGGTTTTGGGTCTGGTGCTTGAGGTATTTCGGAACATAGAAGGTGTCCGTCTTATACCGGAAATGAACTATTATCTCTCAATTCAGTTTTCTGCAATTGATCTTGCATGTTGGCATTGCACATTGGTTGACTTGAAGAGAAATACTTAGTGCAAGGCTGGTACTTTGTCGCTACATGTGGGGTCTAAGTTTACATGGCTGATAAACTCCCTTCTATGGCAATGTCGATGAAGCCTCAAGTTCAATTGCATTTCAAGCCATGGGAATCTTCTCATGACATGTCTTTCCTGACATCGATCTGCTGAATTTCCATGCATTTCCAACGACAGACTCACTCGGAGGCCCAGAGACGTTGGCAAGCTTCTCTCATGAGTACTTTGGGCATCGAACCCTTGATCTTGGCCACTGCAACTCAGCCAATGACACCACAAGTTTGTGCATATTGGTGGGTAACACCGTTCGATACGATCGGCGCAATGAAGCTAGCCACGGGAATGGCTTCCGTGGTAAGATTAGCGGCGTGGACAAGTGGCATGGGGAAGCTGCATTAGCCTGCGGAGGACCGCCATCATCTATGGAAGATACAGGGGCAGAAAACCTCAGTAAGCGAGATGTAGATCCGTCAGCATAAAGACCAGAAAACGATGATGCCTCGATTCGTCGCGCTCTTAGTTCGCTTCTTCCTTTAGCATTCCACAAAATGCGTTCTCTGTTGGCAGTAACGAGCTTGGCCATCCTGTCATTGAGCGACAGTTATGCAACTGCATCGTCAACAGTCAGGTGCAATGCCACAGATTTGCACATAGTGCCGACCTCCAATGGACCGATTACCGGTCACCCGGCGTCGAACAGCTCCGATGTTCTCGAGTTTCTCGGGATTCCCTATGCGAAACCTCCAGTCGGCGACTTGCGGTTCGCTCCACCGCAGAGATTCAGAGGTAATGAGTCGTTCGAAGCATCTCACTTCGGCTTCGACTGTCCACTTTCGCCCTCTCGCCAAGTCGACTACCCGAACATGACAACCCAAGCGCAGCGCATCATTGGCTACTTCGCTTCTGCTGCAGGGACGCCTCAAAGCGAGGACTGCTTGACGTTGAACATCTGGACAAAGCCAACAGATAAAACTTTAACCGCCGCCAAACCGGTTATTGTCTTCTTCTACGGTGGACGTAAGTAATTAGGATCGGCGATGCTTCAATTTTTGCCTCCCACTGACGGGATTCTCTAGGTTTTGCCATTGGCAACACGAACAGCCCTTTCTACAATGGCAAGTACTTTGCGGATGCCCAAGATGTTGTCGTAGTCACAGTCAACTACCGCATCAACATCTTCGGGTTCCCGGGTGCCCCGGCTCAGCCCCAGAATCTCGGCTTGAGGGACCAACGCGCGGCCGTGGAATGGGTCCGCGACAACATTGCCGGCTTCGGCGGTGACCCGAAAAAAATCATCATCGCGGGTCAGTCTTCCGGAGGTGTCGCCGTGGACTATTGGTCATATGCCTACATCAAAGATCCCATCGTCAAGGGCCTCATCGCACCGTCTGGTAATGCCTTCAGCTTCCCGCTCAACAACCCAAATGTGACTGTGCGGAACTGGAACACCGTGGTGGCGGCTGTGAATTGCACTAATGCCACCGATTCCATGGCATGCATGCGAAGTCGGAAATGGGAGGATATCAAAGCTGCGGCCGCTGCTATCAGGCCGGCATCATCCAGCAGCGTTCTTCGTGGTATTCCGCCGTTCTATCCTTCGGTGGACAACAAAATTGTCTTTCCTGACTACGTCTCATTGACACAATCTGGCCAATTTGCCAAGCTGGTGAGCACTTTTTGTCTATCACCTCATCTTTTTCGTCAAATTCCCGAAGCCAGCAGCTAATACTCAAATCATAGCCGATTTTCTTTGGGAACAACCATAACGAAGATGGATACTACAGAATTCCGGCGTACGGCAACGGCGTTATCCCGACTCAGGCGCAAGTCGAATCCTTTCTACTAGAATCCTTCACGTGTCCGAACTCTCATCAGGGCCAGGCCCGTTCAGATAACGAAGTCCCGGCGTGGGTCTACCGCTACTTCGGAGATTGGGATAACACAAGACTTTTCCCGACAAGTGGCGCGTACCATGGCGTCGACTTGCACATGATCTTCGGCGCCTCAGGGGACGTGAGTGGAATTCCCCCGTCCGATCCGCAGAAGAAAACCACTGCACTCATGCAGAGCGCATGGACGGCCTTCGCCAATGATCCGGCGGATGGCTTGAGTTCGGTCCTCGGGTGGCCGAAGTTCGATCCGAAGGAGGAGTCGCTGATACTTCTGGCACTTGACAACAATCCTGAGCCACAGTTTGTCAAACCCAGCACGTACGATGCACCGTGTTCTACAGTTACCTTGGGAGCGTTGGGAACCGCGGCACCCTCTTCATGAGTTTTGATCACCAAATGTGTAAAGTGCTGGACTGTATTGGTAGCACTGGCCGTTCAGACAGGCATATTATGGTTTGGCTACAGTCATGGTCCAAGATGATGAGACTTGTAAATTATTCAACTGCTACATCTACTATTCGAGTGTCATACTGAGTGGATCCCACAGTAATGACTTCTACTTCCCATCTTTCCATGCATCTCCATCCTGAAGTCTGCCGTGATCTATCACTCTACTCAGTAGACGTAGAAGTTTGAGGCGTTAGGGTCAGCCTCTCTCTTCTTCCGGTTGGTGCGCATCAAAGCCCACTTCATTCCCCAGGCGCAGATGACAACTCCGATAGAGAACCCGATGCTAGCAAGCATGGCAGGCAAGAAACGAGGCCCATCAGAGTCTGGCCAGAGATAGGGAGTGTAGATGCTGGCTGCGTTTCCGAGGGTATTGGCCATGGCGATGGCGACTGCCTTCTTTTCGTCGGTTTGACCAAGAACTGATGAGGTCCAGCCCAGAATCAAGTTGTTCACCTATGAGTCGTTTAGTTTCATGTTCAGAATGGACGGACGTATTGTTTGACTACTTACACCGTATGTGGCTCCAACGAATAGCATGATGCCTGTTGAACAGAATTAGCACCGGCAAATGGAGCAAGGATGGAAGTGAGATGAGGCCAGGGGTTCTTACCAGTGTAACGAACTCCCATGTTGAGTGACGAAACTCCCATGACAAAACCGATACAAACAATGAGCTTGCTAATAGTAATGTGCCATGTGCGCTCGTTATATCTTCCAGATGACCAAGGGACCAGAACAGAGAAGAACGCGGAGAAGACGTAGGGCGGGCAGGTCAGCACGAGACTGACGGTGGTGCTGTAACCAAGCGTCTTGACAACAGTCTGCGTGTCAAATATCAGTCTGAGGTTCGCAAAAAGTACTAGGCATTTTGGAGAAATGAGGCACATACAGGCAAAAAGTTCTTGAATCCGTTCGCGGAGAGGTGGAGGTTGTCCATGAGACAGAAGACCCACGTCCGCCAATCAGCGCAGGCCTCCCGAAGACCCGTCCAGACGCTAGTACCCTCGCGACGATCCGTGGTATCGTTGTAGATTCGGGTGTGTGCAAGCTGACGCTCCTCCTCGGTCAACCAGCGGGTCTTGAGGGGGCTATCGGGCAAGAGAAAGAAGGCAAAAATTGCGACGAGAATGGAGACGGCTCCCTGGATAATGAAGAGCCTACATCACAAGGGTTAGCTAAGTTCTCCCTCAAGATCACTTCGCTTGGTGCAGAAGAGGAAGGGAATGAATAAAGGAACACTTACCATTGCCACCCAGCGAGACCCCTTACACCTGACATTCCCGAGAAGATTGGAGCTGCAATGAGCCCAGAAAAAGCACTGGCTGCCATGTTGCCGGTGTAGAAGATAGCCATGCGGGTTGAGACTTCCTTTCTGGTGTAGAACATGCTAAGCATGTAGAGCGCACCAGGGTAGAACTGTCACCTTATGTTAGGTGATAGCTTCATATCGAGAATCGGAAGGATACCTTACAGGGGCTTCGGTGACTCCGAGCAGAAAGCGGCAACCCAGCATCGTCCCGAAGTCATGGCACTTGTAGGTCAATAGACTCACAACAGACCAAGCCATCATGAAACCTTGAGGTTACTCCAGTAAGTAATTGCTCCGCTCGTTGTATATTGAGCGACTTACCAGCCATGTAATACGAGGGACGAACCCGGTTGAGAATCATGTTGGAAGGGACTTGGCCGACAAGGTATCCGACGAAAAGGATGGAAACGCAGGTATTGTACTGCTTGCCTTTGAGGCCTAGGTCGTCGTCCAAATTATTGAGTTTGCCGTTAATCATCGCATTCCTGTCGAGGAAGTTGAGGAAGTACATCAACCATAGAATAGGCTGTTGATTTTCCGTCAGACTTGTGCCGTCTTAGAGAGGAATGTGTGATGTTTGTGGCATACCAGAATGTACCAGTCAATCTTCTTCACAAGGGCGATCTCTTTCGGGTCTGTCTTTGTATGGGCACCGAACTCGTCTACCTTCTCAATCACGGGCTGCTTCATCAGAGCAGGGTCGTCGGTTGTCAAGACGTGTTCCATCTGGTTGACGGCAACCTTCTCCTGTGAAGAGACAGGCCTCTCGCCATGTGCATTGTGCGCCATTGTTGTCTTGTTTGTTGAAAAAGTACCCGCTTTGAAGAGGGAAGAGAAAAGTTGCTGAAGAAGCAGTGCGGAGCAGTTGGGGGAATAATTCGAGGTTGGACAAGTTTCCGGCCGGCGATCCTGCTTCAAGGTTTGAAAGTGAAGGCTGGCGGTCCTCTGAGTCCACGAGTTGAAGACGCAACGATGGATCAAGGTCCGAAGAAGCACAGATATATACTTTCAGACCCCAGCTCTTAATTACAACCCTCGTTCGACCGGCAAGCCGTTCGCAGCCATCTCCTCGGGTCAACAAGCGCGGAGCAAGATGAGCATAATCGGTGGAGAAACCATTTGCGTCCCCCATGGGGTACGACGGCTTTTCCGCGAAGTGCGAAGTGCGGAGTGCGGGGAAAGGAAAGCAGGCCAAGGCTCCTGAAGAGTTATTCGCATCCCGAACCAGGACTCGCATATTTAGTCCGGAGGCGCCCCTTTCAAGTCTCGGCGGACGGGGACTAAAGTTGATTAGCACCTTGGCCTGCCTCTCAGGCTTCTGGGCTGCCGTAGAGCCAAGGTCAAAAGCCAATGTTGATTCACACGGCCCCGGATGCCTCTCTACGCTTCACGACTATGTGGCTCTCCCTAGAACCTGAATCATTGTACACAGATGTCGTTCAACGCTGTCAGAGAACTGTTCATCGACGAGGAAGTCGAAAACGTTCAAGGCCTACCTTCCAGTCATCACAATTACCAGGGTTCTATGACTGAAGGTCAGTACTCACCACAATCTGCGCGCGATAACGCGCCCGCCATCGTGGTCCCCTGTTAGTTCCTGCCACCCAACTCACAAAAGCTTGGCGTTGATGGCGTCGAAAGACATGTTTTCCATAGCACCCCCATGCGCCTCTCCCAATATGCCAAGGTCATCACGGAAAAGCCATAGGCGGAAAAGCCACGAGAAGCACGGAAATGGTTCACAAACATCAACTTCGTCGTATGAGGATATTGGCCGTCAACTATCAGCTTCACGACGCTGGCCAGGCAATCAGCAGATGGAGTTATTCCAACGTTTTTGGTTCCATCGGAAAACCCCACAACGCCGCAGCAGTTGGGATCCGGGAACGAATGGGAACGCACCCATCCGTGGCCCTGACCATGGTGTTCATCCAGAGTCTCAGTCATCTGAGTTCCCGCAGCTCGCCGTGCGCTCGGAATAGCTTTACTTGGAGTTGCCATGCAGACGGCTGACCCACGAGCATTGGCCCCTCAATCTCCTGTATTCAACAGAGTGATACTGATTGAGTGCTGAAGTGACAATAGCCGCCTCAGCACATTCCAGCTCTCGTAATCTCATACATCCGTGTCTATCTCCGCGTTTCTCCGGATCTCCAAACCTGAAGGCATGCTTTGAATATCGGTCCCGTATCTATGCTATTAGAAGTAGTGTCACATGGACCATGTTCCAGGGTGTATCGTGTGACCCCTGTTCACCGACTACTGAGATTGGGTTACAGCAGGAAGGGACCCAGCATGCCAACCCGCATGATCACAGATCCGTGAGACCTCTGCGTCTCTGTAGCAGATGCTCTTGCCCCTCAGCAAACTTTCACATATTTCGCAATAGCTTATGTTCGAGAAGAAGGGACCGCGAGTATACGCTATCACTGCTGAGGAGGCATCAAAAACCCGAGGGCATCAGCGTCAGCCAAATGCTGGTTGTGCTTGTTCGAGAAATAGCATCACGAGATCGTAGGTAGGAAGAGGCATACTCGAACTAATCTGCCACCGTCTATTCTCGACAAAGTTCTGAGACCTACTCGGGAAAGAACGAACATAAGGTGGCAAATGCCTGGTCAAAATGCTTTTTGTTCATCTGGCTGGCTTGAGGTAACCTCGATGCCAGAATCGTGCGAGGGTGGGATCAGCGCCCGCTAAGCTCAAGACATTCAAACAGGACATTTTCATACTGACTTAGGATGTGCATCAATTACAAAAAAGCTAGAAGGTATATGCTAATTACCGATCATTTGGAACCGCAAATCCACTGACTTGGCCTCGTAGCCGGGCCACACCACTTCATCCAGCGACGTTACGGAAAAGCACATCACAAGTCTAGCCACCGCCAGTGATACCAGTTGCCGCCTCCTGAATCTTCCGAAGCTGCTGCAAGCACTCACAAACATTTGGACTGGTTCGCATCAGACTTTTGTAAGTTGTGCAATACCACAGCCTGATTAAATTGAAGATCAGGATAAAATGTTGCTTCCGTGAGAGAACGAAAGGTTTGCTGCTCTCAGGCTTGTTCACTGAGATACACGACGTGGGGTGGTCAACCTTTGGCACCTCAGGCCATGATCCCAAGACAGCTTTGAAAGCTTTGTGGCAAAGTGTAGTCTTTATGTAGGTAATGTCCAGAAACGACATGGTCACGTCTAAAACTTGACCCCTTGGCTTCCTTCACCGTCAAGGACGAGAAAAGGAAATGGAGGATTTCTAGAAATTCCATCTCCTGAATATTGCTGATCCCCAGAAATCTTACCCCGACATATTGGCCAGGACCTGTAACCAAGACCGAATTTCTTGGTTAACCTTAGCAGGCTGTTCCCGGAATACCCAATGGCCGGCACCGGGAAACGTGACGAGACGGACGCTATTCACAAAAAACTTCGGAATCCCATCCAAAAACTTCGTCGAAAAGTAGGTGTCTGCGAAGCCCCAGATGATGAGCGTGGGCACCTGATATACCATGCTAGAAGTGTCCACATGCTGGCCGTATGGTGGGCCCGGGTAGTTGTATTTGTAGTAGGCGTACATGCCTTCCATTGGTGACTCGGAGAGATAATCATGCATCTCGCAACGCTGCTCGTCATCCTTGATACCCTCGAGCGCGGCGCCTAAGTTCTTGTCGTCCCCTTTTTGGTACTGAATGTGATGAATAGTATAGGCAGACTGGGCTTGTTGGTCTTTATCAAACTGAATGAGCTCGTGAAAGCGAGGAAGGATGGGAGAATTCATAATTATGAGCCCGGAGACGCGCTCAGGGTGGTGAAGTGCCAGTAATTGAATAGCCCCGCCGCCAAAGTCGTGGCCGCCGACGATTGCCTGAGCGGCGTTGAAGTGATCAAGGATGGCCAAAATATCTCCAACCACAGTTTGCAAAGAGTAGGCGTCTTGCTCGACGGTGGGAATGTCGCTAGGTGGGTAGCCGCGAAGAGTGGGGCACACGACTGTATGTGTCTTCGAGAATTCAGCCACCTGATGGGTCCAAGTCTTTGAGTTGTCGGGAAAGCCGTGGAGAAGAACCATTAGGGGGCCTTGTCCAGTCGCGTAGAAGTGTATCCGTACGCCTTCATTCACAATGAAGCCCGATTGGGTTGATCCTGAGGCCACCGACACCGACATCTTTGCTGACCCTGGATAAGCGTCCGATGATAGGTTGCAGCTCAGGGGCAGAAGATGATATGATAGAGATTCTCAAAGCAACGATGTCTTCAAAAGCTTAGAAAGAGGAAGTCGATTGCTCTACTAGGTAAAAGTTGAAGCTTAACACTAGGTGATTAAGTAGTTGAGCGAGTTCAGTGGTCGACGTTCGCTGACTATTGATTCTCGGAAAAATTACGTGATCTCGGACAGTGAAACCGTAATCTTCGTACGCATTGCTCAGCGCACAACGCCGTCGATCTGTGAGCCTAAACATATATTTGCCTTGATGACTAATCCCAAGTCCAAGTAAAAACTTTGCTTAAGAGTAACTGAGGATTTCGTCAAATATCTATATATTTGTAAGGATATAGGCTTGGTCGACTGACTCGAATCGTCCTAAAGTCCTATCATATGTAGGGTGTGTCTCTCCTTTGCCCCTCAAAAGACTTCAACGCTTGTCGACACTGCTTACTTTCTCATGAGAATCTGATCTTCAATGATAGGCCTGACTGTCTAGCTTATTCAAGCCTGCCAAAACGGCCTGTATGACTGACGATGCAGACTTACGTAAGGAGCCTTTGTGTTTGCTGGTGGCCGAGCAGGATCTACTTTGGAACATGAAAGCCGCTCTTGTACTCAGGAGCGTAGTGAGTGCTATAAAACATGATCAACGGCCTCATGCAAACGTTCGTCGGCCTTAACATCGTACGCGACCTTGCCAGAGTAGGGGACGCATGGGCTGGTGCTTTTGGCTTCGTTTGGAAGTAGGTAGGTTGGTAGCTTTGATTCCAGTGAGAAGCCTACTGACATTATCGTTCACCCAGCCTCTGCGGCAGTCTGATGAGCCTTACAAGTACTCAATTCTCCTTACCTCAATAACTTGATTGCCTTGTATTATGGGAGCGAAAGTTTGCAAAATACCTGATCATGCCATCTAATATATGGAAGGCGCCGTCGTTCGTGAAACTGATCACTGCGTTGTTTCTCTTCTTCAAGCCACCCGGAGTTTTGCCGTGGTACAGATTTGTGTGGCTGCTCACCGTTCGGTACTGGACGCCCCTCTTCTGATCAGCTGCACTCATACCATTCACAGTTCTAGGAACCCTGATGGAAATTCTTTCAGCTTGGCTGAATTCCAGCGCATAGTAGCTCGGGAAATCTTGGCTATCGACGCATTATGCGTCATTGTCTGACCAAGGCTGGCGACGGTGTCAGAAAGGCAGTCCTACGGGCCTCAGCTGATGAGAAGAATAGCTGGGAACGGAGTCGGAGGTTAGGAGCAATAACGCAGAAGAACAGAAGCCAACGACCTGTTGATACAAATCTGTGTAGGAAACTACTTCAGGATTCCCATAAACTCCGTCTTTCTCGATATATGCTTCGGTCCATATCCAGTTGAGGGGACCGATGATGACTGAACATTGATGTGTCTTCTTTCTCGTGTACGTTTCCAATCAGGGTTGAGTCAAGTCCCCGAACGTTCAGATTCTCTATCAGATCATGTACTGAAACCACATAAGCTATGTTCCTGGTGTGGCGGAAAACAATGCCATTCGTCACGAGACGGCGGTCTTCAACCTAGAATTGGAACCTCGTATTGAGGCTTATGGCGCTCCTATCCCATCGGGAGCTGAATGGCGTCAGTACGTTACCACATGGGGTAGTACCGGATCCCATATTTTTCGTCTTTTCTCTGTGTTAATTGTCCGAAATCTCAATTATGCATCTAATAAAAAGAATCAGAACGGAATGAGTATTGGAGAAAACCGGGCACCATTGTGTTGACGTCGTTCGGCACCCGGTGGGATATTGAATCCTCTCATACCTTGCTGGCTCAACCGCGTAATAGTGCCTCACATAATGCACGCAACACTAAAGTCCCACTGGGATGTTCTTGGCATTCGGGGCAGCCAATACAGTGCTTAAGACCATCGATTCCATTTGTCACGGGTAGTACCTTGCCGATTAGACAAGGTATAAAGTATGCAGCATGTGTTTGTCATAGCTTCTGATGCATATAATTCTGCCATTCCAGGTTTGATGTTACACTGAGACGCACATTGCTGCAATGCAGAGGCGATTGGCCAAGCTATTGATGCAGGTGTTGTGTGGCCTCGCCTAGGAATACGAAGCGATCCATCGGCTGAAAAAGCAACGTGTAACATCGTATTATTATTTATTGATAGGTTCTAAGGAACCATTCACGCTGACTAGGTATTCTGAGGTATAAAAACCGTCTCGTTTCCGGTTCGTGAAACTATCACTTTAGGTCCAATTAAAGTTCATTGAAATCGTTTTGCTGATTGCAAATTGCAAGAATCCACATTCAAGTGATACATCTATTGGAAAGCCAACTGCCGTACTTGAAAATGGTCTCTTTCAAAGGTCTGTTGCTGTTGATCCCCGTCGTCCCTCAGCTGGTAGTTGCGACGTCATGCGATTACGGATCCTGGTACATCGAAATCAACCTTGCAGCAGGCGCTCAAGGCAACCGACGCGGAGATCTCTATGCTGAGCATTCCAAGACTCCAGGCGTGATCAGCCACTCAGTATGGATCTATGACCCCCAGACAGAGTTGACTACCTATACCGCGGAAGATCCGACCTTAAACAACACGCTTATCTCGGTTCTTGGTCTGCAGAGTACGTCTATTATACCTACTAAGAGGCGGCACGAGATGGCTTGAAGTTAATGGTCATCACAGATTTTGAGATAGAGCAGACCGTCCTTGGGATCCCCTTGAAGGGATCTGGGCTCATCGACATGTATTTTAGCCCGGCCGCAAACGGCCGCGGCGGCAAGGGCAACACGACCATTATTTCGGAGTTGAACGATTGAATCAGTGTGGCGGTACCACAATCTCATATCGATCTCACGGAGCTTAGATTGTCTTTCAGGTCGGCTCGCGATAAGTCGTGACACGGGTATGCGTGTCATATCCCGAATTTGTCTTCTTGGGCAGCATAATGTCCTTTAGGCTACATGATATGTACATATGAGAATATGTACATATGAGACAAGAACATCCTCCTTGCAAATTCCGCAAGGTTTCAATTACACTCAAGGAACAGAAAGCTTAAATTCAAAGATTACTAATCTTTTGTTGGCAACCTTTCTGCTGTACTCAGTCTAGACTCGCGCCCTGCGATTGGTTTGGCGCGCTACAGAAAATTGTCTGGAGGCAGTTCGAAATTGAATGAATAGTAATCAGGCTCCCTCAACACCCTCGGCAGCGAGAGGAATGACGCTTCCCCCATCAAGTCCCAACTCACGCGTGCTGTTCGTACAGCATGTTATGTTGGAGAGTGGATCACAAAGGGTCCCCAAAAGAACGTCGATAGAGCATATGTGTCCCCGTCCACGATCTTGAACAGTGACAGAATCCTTTCTGTACTTGACTGGATCTCGACACCGAACACCACATTATTCCAACTTGACATTCTCGGGGGCACCGGGCATGCAATTTTCAACAATTATGGGCGATCAAAGAGCCAAGGTAGTTTCGAAGAGACGAGGCCGGAAATCGCCAATGTCTGACGACGCTAACGGCGATGACATGCGGAAGGTCAGTATAGCCACAACCTGGTTTCTGCTCGTAAATCTCTGCATTTGCCGCTGCACCTCTGCATTATATTCCAAACGTACCGTACTTGACGACTGACTAGTTCAAGATCCGGAGAGAAAGGAACCGCGAGGCACAACAAGTATTTCGAAGACGGCGACAAGCTGCAGATGTAAAACAGAAGGAGCGAATCGAGAGGTTGGAGAACGTTGTAGAGAACATGACGCTCCTCTTCATTGACCTCTTCGACGAGGTCATCGGAAATAAGGGTGTACTGAAAAAGCAGGAGGACCTTCTTGCCCTCTTTCAAGACTCAGCGATGCAGTTGAAGACAATGGTGCAGCCCATCACTGATATCGACGACGACAACGACGATGGGAACCCAAACTCTGGGACCACGCGGTCTACCGATATCCATGAAAGACCCATTTGTTCTACGTCGGCCTCGTTGAGTCAACACAGCACTTTGAGGCAGAACGCCGGCGCGCCCGACCGCTTGAGTCCTTCCAAAAACAATAGCGGCGGCGAAGTCGATGGTACCCCTGCAGAGGGCATGAGAGCGCAACCTAATGTAGAACATCTTGAGGCTCTGGACATGCCACATATATCGACTACGAGGTCGAATCCTCCTTCTCAAGCATTTTGCCTTCAACTGTTAGAAGCGACTCTATCTCAAGCATGCTTGATACTAGCCGGCTGTCTTCCCGTATCACCAGTCGATTTTCAGACCATTTTTGGCATTACATTGCAGTACCGTTCAAGAGAAGAACAGCTAAGTCAAGTGCGCTGCCTGCTGGGCTCGGATACAGCAAAGCGTCTGGCAGCAGGGATGTCTCCAAGGGAGTCTAGGAGGGGCTGGCGGGATCAACATAGCCTACAGCTGGGATTCGGGCTGGTCGCAGAATACGAGGCCGATGTGGTACATGGCAATGACCTCCCACCAGGGTTTCTTACAGCACTTCAAGTTCAGAAGCAATTGCAAAGCCTTGGCGCACGAAAGCGGGGGAGTAACATCCTCGAAGTCATCACTTCGGCGGTGGAGAGTCCTGATATTACTGCACATGTTTTCGGGTCTACGCTCTACGAACGCACCCCTCAAATCACCGATTTTGGCATCGCCAAAGCCTTGACTTTTCAGCTGAACGTGTCATTACTCATCGCAAATCTTACAAGTTCGGCAAAGTGCTTTTTGACTGGGCCGGCTTACTCTCAGCTGGGCTTTTTCAAGGCCGTGGAAGCGTCAATGATATCAGTCACTGACGCTCCAGCTGGCTAAGAGAGAAACCAGAAATGCGAGATTTTCCTTTCGATGCAGGAAGTTAGAGGTAGAAGACTAGAGACATGTTTCAAATGACCCACAGATTCGACTAATAGGGTACCTTACATTGCGGCATCTTGGCCGCCTGCACCGTGAGTCTGCAAAGGAATCTTGATCAGTGCCAACCTGACATTTTCAGACACCAATCTCCTTCGTGTGCGCCTTCTTGGCGATCCCGAGTCGCGATTTCCCTGATGATGGACGTGACAACGTGGCATGGACCTGGCGCCAGGTAGGTATTTGTAGCATCTTGTAGGACTCCAACAATCATCCTTTTCTCTCTCGATGGCAAGCTCAAGTACTTACTGACTTCTCGTAATTCAGTTGTGACTGAAATAACCGCTGTGATCCCCTTGGCAGCGTATTGGTGGTTTCAGTCTGCTAACAAGAAGAGGAATGCGACGAAGGAAAATGTGAAAGACCAAGGGAATCATAGTAAGGAACCGCCGACAGCATCTCCAACCTATCCGATGGGTTGGTCCCACAGGAGCTAATAGGGGGATTTCCACGGCCAACGAGGAGTGATAGAGAGATGGTCTAGGAGCAAAGCTAAGTGCAAGAGCTTCTGGAATGAGTGAACACACGTTCCTTTCCAGCATTTGGTAGAAAGCCTCAGGCTTGAAATCCAAACATTCTTAATGAATAAGCAAACTTGATTAAACTCCACACTCAGAGGTTTGTCGTTGTCATATTGTTTTACATCCATCAGTCCTGTCAGGGGCAAAAGCAATGCGTTCGCATCCTGACCTAGTAATAGATACGTCCCTATATGTTTGGAATGACATGCTGCAGAAAAGTATAGCCTGGATAATCAAAATGCTCTACACTCTTTGTATCGGAGTGGAATGTCTGTGCCGCAAATGACGTATCTGAACAAACAGGCGTCTCCGTTCTCTGTTGGTTTGCCCCATAACCTTACCTCTCACGAAGCCCAGACTGTAGATTGGTTGGAAGCGGGAACGGAAACCCAACAGATCATGTTTACCATGCGATTCGTTGTCTCCTGCAGCCATACCACGCATAAGATGAGCTTGGTGTCACACCAACCCCTCCGCTCGGAGCGGACTTTGAGCGAACTTCCCACTAGGTACTAGGCGTCTTCCCTCATTCAGCGTTTGTTTCCCGTTTGCTTCAACTCGTGCTTTTTTCTAGTCCTTTCAGACCCTCGCGGGCGATGGAGGCTCTATCGCAGCACAGAAATTGCAATCAACTCTTATGGCTGTGCACAAAGCAGGTAAGTGATTCGTTTGCCTACGTTTTTGCGCTTATCCTCTCCTATCCCTGTCTTCCCTGCTAAATCTTCGCCTACGCAAGAGGGCACTGTCTTTCTCGACTGTGCCGACATTATCCAGACTTTCCATGCAGACCTTAGTAGCTATCAGAAGATTCTTACGAGGGCATCCAAACGTCCCGTATCTTTCTCAAAACTAAACACCAGGTCGAGTTCCAGGGAAGCATCGTGCAAGTTTCACTCCGCCGCGGAGACAAGGGGCCAATACCGGTTACAAGAGACGGAGCATGTCTATAATGAAAGAAATGCATCATGAACATCTTTAATTTGAATGCATACAACAATAAATATGTGATACGATATTCCGGAAGTTCTACAGAATCCACCTCTTCTTCGTTCAGAGCCAGTTGCAGTCTGTGTCGATTTTGTTGGTGCAGTTTCGGCGCTTTAGCTCTCTGCCCCAGTAAGTTGCCTTGCACTTGCAGTTCCAGCAGCTGTGGTAATAGCAGACGTCGTCGCCATAGTAACAACTCGTTCCGTTTTCGACCCAACAAACTTTCTAGTCTATCGTTAGAGCTGCCTGTTCCGGGACTTGTAGGGAGATGCCTACCCTTGCAAAGATCTCGTTGCGCGGCTTGAGAGACACGTTTTCCTCGTATTGGAACGGAGCGGCCATGGTGAAGCTGGTCGCTCCAAGGGCTAGAAGGGCAACTGAAAATTTCATCCTGGTGTTGATTGTGTGTAGTAAACGAGACAGAGGGTGAAAAGATGTATTTAAAGTGTTGTGTAGTAATCAAGGAGGATGGCTGAATTCCTATAAATACTTCCTAGAAAAGATCTCTTGGTAACACTATCTAGAAGAGTATCTCTGCGAGGGCCAGATCTTGAAGTTCTTTCCCGCGTAAATTTCCGCGACGATCTCACCGAGTCAGTGGGATATGTGATCGCCATTCTGGGTCAAGGCCTAGGGTAAGTGTGAGAGCAAAATAAGATATCTACAGAAGACAGCCCAAGCCCACACTGCCCTGCAGATCTATAGTGTAGGGAAGGGTTCAAAGCCTCACAAACAATGCCATTAGCTAAACTCATGAAAGACTTTGGGCAGAAAAAAGAATACAGAGAGTAAAATTTGTAAAAAGGCGCGAAGAAGACGTGAAATGACATGCATCATACTGGCACAACCGGGGACTAAACTAAATAAATCTCACGGGCCAGCCGCGTTGGGGATGGAGGGTGGGGGTGGATAGGCACTACCCGCACCTGATGCTTTTAGCCTTTCGCAGGTCATCCATCTTCCATCGACATTAATTGGCGGTCACTTCCCCCGAAGGCTTGCTCTCCCACCGGCGTTGAGCAGGGGTTGTGGGTAGCCCGCCCCTGTCCGTCTCCAGTGATCCAGACCGGGACCCCACATCATTTTCCTCCGACTGCTGGTTGAAATTCAGAGGTGGAGGGACGTGAAAACACCCCCCCTTTTCGAAGTGCCGGCGTTGTATGCCCAACAATCTTGATTTGTTTTGCAGCGTCGATGTCATCAGGAATCTATAGCACCTCAAAGTCCTTAACTAAGCGCCGATACGTCGTACCCAAATTTTAAGAATATAAGAAAAATCAAGTTCCACCATCCGAATCCTTACTTTTGTGTCTTTTCAGCTATGGCCTTGTTTTGTCGATCGGTTCCCAGAGGCCTACAAGCAAATGACTGAGCGAACAAGCCCTTTTCTTATAGGGCTGAGAGACGCAATAAGCCTGGCCGTCCACGAAGTTATCGTTACATGTCTAGGCCCGCGAGGCCGTTCAGCGGGCCGCTCTAAAAATTGCGTGCCTATGATAGCCCCGACCCTATGTGACTGCCACCACCACAATTCAAGTCATTTCGTCACAGATCTGCGTTATAAAGAGCGAAAAGATGTTTCAACTCCGTGATTTTCCGAAGGACCCAATTGCATCGCGAGCCCTGTTATATGACTAGAATAGGATCTTAGGAAAGGCCACAAAGATTCGATTGGCAGCCAGTTTCAGATTCCCAGCTACCATTAACTCCAAGATAGCGTTATAAATAACAAATTCTTGCTCTCAAAAGAAATAAGACTGTACACTTAGATGGAAGATGTGATGCTCTCGCCTTAAGTGTTGCCGATTGGGGAACGCCCATTAGTGTTGACCATGGACGCGATCAAGTAGTCCTTGATAGCGAGTCACGATCCCTCGTCTGTTAAGCTTCCCAACCGCTGTTGTCAAGCCCTGGGGTAAATATTAGTCTCGAATTACTTGACATCATGACTCAGTTCTGAATGATGGCACTAACATTTTGAGGAGTCCACTCTGCATCGTCAACAAGCACAACAGCCTCTACCACCTCAATCGAGGCAAGTCCGGCCTCCTGAGCAATCTGTTGCAATTGCAGAAGAGCGCCATGCACGACAAACGGATGTCGTATAAGCGCTGATGTTTCGCAGGGGGTATCTAAACCATGTCTCTTAGCTAGGTCCTCCAAGGCTGGCGGTGAAGGAACGACTATAGCCGTTGGCTTTGCGCGGTGAGGCGATGCGTGGATGCAGATGTTAGCCACAAGCTTTGCAGAGCGGTAGATAGACTCTAGCTGGAATGAGTGAGTTGTGGTCAGTGTACACACCTTCCACGGGCAAATTAACGATGCATCATGCAGATCGGCGTCATACCTTTTCAAGCGCGATGTACTCTCCGTTGAGTGTCTTGACGAGGTTCTTCTTCCGGTCAATGATTCTGAAATGAAAGTCGTCGCCGCTGCATGTGGGTTCCCACTGCCCAATGTCGCCAGTGCGGATCCAATCGCCAGGCGCGACTGCACTCTTGGACTCATCGTCGTTGTCATAGTACCCTTCCATAACACTATCGCCCCGTATCCAGATCTCCCCCTGTGATGGAGTGTTACTGGTGAGGTAGCCTGCATCAGGGCAGTCAACCAGTTTCATTTCTATACTGGCCGGGATGCTCATAGATCCTGGTCGCCATTGGCCGGGATCCATCAGACCACCCATGCTGGAGGTTATCAAGACATCAGCTTCGGTTCAGCTTTGAACTCAGACTATCAAGTCCTTGAACTTACGCCATTGTCTCGGTTAAGCCATATCCGTTAATCAAAGGAGCCATCGCCATGGTCAAGAAGTTTTGCGTGCTTTCCGCTACGGGCCCGCCGCCTGACATGGCGAACCGCAGCCGGGGCCCAACCACCTCACTGGCGGCGGACGATAATATCCCATTGAAGCCGCATGTCCCGGCCAATCCGGCTGCGGCCCATACTTCTCTTGCTTTGACCCTCGACCAGAAAGCAAGTCTGTCAATAAAGCTTGAATTTTCCACGTTGGACAAAATCGCCTTTTTAATCCTTTCCCAGATAGCAGGAACACCGATCATAAAGGTGGGTTGGAAGGCATTTATGTCTCCCACTTCGAGAGTGCCAGATGGAGTGCTACGGTCGAAGAGCGTACGTGCACCACCGTAGCCCATCTTCACACCCCAGTAGAGACAGCTATTTTCGAAGGCGAATTCAAGAACATGAGCTAATGGTAAGTATGCGAGGAAAGAATCGGAAGACGAGAGATAGTCGCCGATCACGGAGTCAAGACCTGTGACTGTTGGCTGATTAGATAATCGTTCATGTTATTCTAAGGGGATAAGATCAAATATCATGGTGAATCAGGGGGTGACTTACCTGCCGCTACAACGGCCTTGTGTTTCACCGGAACTCCTTTCGGTATTCCTGTAGACCCAGAAGTGTAGTAGATGGCGCAAAGATCCTCCCTGTCAGGTGGAACAGGCTCACTCATCTTGCTCCGGCCAACCTGGCATAGCTGGCTGAAGCTGAGTATTTGAAGCCCTGGTTGTGTCTTCTTGAGTTCGAACAAGTCTTTGATCCACTCAGCACCTGCATCAAATGTACCACTTGGCTGGTCGTTATAGACTATGGCCTCAACTCGTGGAAGAGATCTGTTTGTCATTGCAGAAGTCACCTTTTGACAGAGATGGTGATCCACGAAGATGGCTTTGGCGCCTGTGGACTCCAGAGAATGCTCGAGGCCAGTAAGGCCGAGAGCTTCGTAGGCTGTCACGAAAACCATGGACTGTGAAGATGCACCATGAGCGATTGATAACCATTGTGGGCTTCATGGTTTTCGTCAATTTTGGTAATTCCACAAGAGTCCACAGGGGAAACTTGCCTTGTTGCTGCATAGACGAGAATCTTATCAGTTTTCTGGAGACCGACCGCCCGTAAGCCGGATCCTACATCATGAACCACAGTACAATGATCTTGGTATGATATGTAAGTGTACTATTGATGCACTTTTAGCCGCCTTGTCATATGTGATTACGGCAGGGCACGCCACCAACCAGAGAATTTCCTGGCAATCTGTTTTTTGCATTTAAGTTTTCGGCTTCACTTGCTCGTGCACCCAAAGCAGGCTTGTCTCCATATGTCTCTGCCGCCCAATGCACGATGTCATAGACTGTCTGTATCTCGTTATTGGGCTGCGACAATAACCCGGGTCTACCAGCAAGCTTGGTGTTTCTTTGGGGCCGAGTCTCGGCCGGGATAGGTGGGGCACTCGGTACCGTAGTGGAGAACGGGGCGGAGCCGGAGGCCCGGGCGCTGCATTCCGGGGACACCGTCATTGTGCCGTATCGAGCTTACTTGTGGGCGAAGTAAGACGATGCCCATGACTAGCACAGCGAATTGTTCAATTTAGGCTGTTTTAACTGCTGCAAGGTCTGGTACAGATGCCGTGTACCTAAGTCCTCGGGTGGTTTCAATCTGTCGCGCGTAGGCGCTGCGGCTCATTTTTTAGTCCCCGAATGCCGCCGCATTGCACATAAGCTCGCTCCTATTCTAGGCAAAATGGCCCGCTACCACAAACAAGTCGACTGGCTACTCTTCCTGGAGGATAACCCCGTGAAAAAACAATTTCATTTACTGACTGGGAAGTATCGTTGAAGAAACCTCAAAGTACCCGCGTGCAAGCTCTTGTGCCTGTCTCGCCCGAGCTGTTAGCATAGCCCGGGCCCTCAAGATAGCGACCCGCCCAAGGCCAGCTGACCTGAGTCCGTCACCCCATCCTTTACAGAGCCTGCCATGTCCATCGATCGACCATGCATCGCTAGATACTCCAGTAGGCCCAAAGAGAAGACCTTCGGGGTCGTATTTAGACTTGATGGCTTGCAGCCGCGGGTAGTTTGCCCCATAGAAGTCCTCTTTCCAAGTTTTGAGCTGGAAATCGCCCTCATTCATATAAGTCCCGGAACCAAGCGTAAGTTCCCTCAGTCTTGGCACAACGACGTCGGTGATTTCGTCGGCACGACGTTGGCCGTCCGCTCTAAGCGCACTAAAGTTCCACGTCGACTGTGCGAGTACCGTGATCAGGGTGTCTCGCCAGGCCGGGAGGACGGCATTGTCCGCAACGGGTTTCCGTCCAGGCACCGGCTTTACATCCAGAGCAACAAATCCCAGAAAAGCATTCGTGTCTTCAAGAATGTTGCGAAAGGCCCCGACAAGAGCGGTGCTGTTTTCCTCGACATTGGAGCGCGGGATCATCCTTCCGCCAAAGAGGTGGTGAATCGTGTAAGGGCCTCGGGGCAGAGGTCCACCGTGCTTGCTGTAATGTTCCAAGAATGTGGGTTCCGATGTCACTTCGAGCGTATACTGTACGTCTAGTTGATCGAGTCGGTCGACCAGCGGGCTTATCAATTCGGAGACCTGTTGCTTGGTCCACCCAGGGAGGGTAATAGGTGCGATGAAGAAGGCGTCCTTGGTGACGGCGTATCCAGCTGTCCCACCGGCGGTAGTGAGGCTAGGAAGGAGGTCTTGCCAGCTTTTGAAAAAATTCCAGAAGTCATCTTTCGCCACGCCGGCGGTAGAGAATGCCAGAGTCGCACCTCCGATGTAGCCGTCAGGATATGCTCTCACGGTTAGCGAGATCACGACTGCGTAGGTGCCAGGTCCGCCTCCGCTCAAGGCCCAGTACAGATCTGAGTGCTGCAGAGGTGTCGCCACCAGATGTTCTCCGGAAGGCGTGATGACTTCCCACTCAAGGACCTGGTCGGCTCCGAGCCCATACTGTGAGCTCAACGGACCGTGGCCTCCGCCTTGGGTATAACCGCCGGCGACGCCTACCGTCGGGCAAAAGCCTCCAACCACGCGAAGACCTTTGTTGGCGGCAGCCGTGTAGGCTTCCAGCCCACGTACGCCGGCGCCCATTCGGATAGCGGGACCGGTGTATGTTTCGCTTTCAAAATCCAGCACTTCTATCGAACGGAGGCTACTTGTCCATAGGGCAAGGCCCCCTTTGGCGGCGGACTTTCCCATGTAACTTGCACAAGTATGTCAGTGATTGTCTCGATACCTTATGCCAAAGGAACTTCGCTTTAGATGTGGCTTGTTACGCACTCATGTCCTGTGTTCTTGATGGCCAGCCGTAGGGAGTGCCTGCGTGCGAATGAAAGACCTTGCACGACGTCTTTTGCATTTGTTACGTTGATAGCGTAGGAAACACTATGTCCCAGCGTACAAGGGGTATCAGCAGGAGTGAATGGATCGCAGCTGGAGTTCTGCCAGTAAGGGCTCTGGATGCCGCCTGGCCAAGATTCGCTGCAATTACCTGTCAGACTGTATGACCCGAGCAAGGAATCAATGGGGTGTCAAAGCTCACTGAATCTCTGGCCAAACCCAGTCCTTGCGAATAGCGGCGCACTCGGCCTCGTCATAGTTCGGGTCGTGGCAGACAGACGCTGGAGGAACTGAAGCAATGAGACGACCGCCCACAGAGGCGTTAAGATCCTGCCATTGCAACTCGGATGGCCAACAGCTATCGCCGTCAGTACATGTGCAGAAGGGGCGGGCCCAGCTGGCAGAATTTCTTGTCAGAAACAAGGCGGCTGTAATTGCCAGCCCCACGATTGAGGCTGGCCCGGAAACTTGGGATCGAAATCTCATTGCTAAAAGAAATGAGCACTGAAAGCCAACTATGCGGTTTCTGCTCCAGAATTTCTTTACTTCACTTGAAATAGAGCAGTATTATCGCGCAATAGAACCAAGACAAGAAGCACCCAATAAAATTCCGCAGTCGCTAGGATTTGGCCAAGCTCGTTATTCCCCGGTGTTACTGATGGAAACAACACTATGGAAGATTACTTCGACTTACAAAAGAAAAAAAAGCCCCGACCTGCGTAGATGAAATCCGTGTGGCCCGATGCTGACGCCCATGCTGGCTACCTGACCAGCAACAAAAAAGGACTTCCCACTGAAAATCGGCCAGAGCGAACTCAACCAAGACGTGAATTTTGGAAGGAGATTACCTCGAAATAACCAGGCTTTGAGTTTGGTCTCGTCAAAATTTGTTTGGTCGTCACTCTCCTTTCCTGCCCTCCCGCCGGTCCTACCAACAGCCGACATTTGCCCCATCGTAGCCGCACAATCATTTTCAAGCACCTCAGAGACCAACAAGTATGATGGATTCCATATCTACGCCCGAGACTCGCTCATCTGCCGTTTTCTATGGCATTACAGGGCTGGTATGTTCCGCCGTGTATCTGCTCTCTCTGGGTATCTATCGTCTGTACTTTAGCCCGCTTGCCAAGTTTCCAGGGCCGAAGCTGGCTGCTTTAACGCAGTGGTACGAGGCCTACTATGAGCTCTTCAGCGGCGATGGCGGCCAGTTTATCTGGCATTATGCTAAGTTGCATGAGGAATATGGTGAGTGGACTTTGACTCGGCAACTGACTGTTTCGAGATCTCAACGTGTTGCTAACTGGTTTTCAAAGGCCCAATCATCCGAATTAACCCATGGGAGCTGCACATCCAAGACTCTAGCTTCTATGACGTGCTTTACTCGTCTTCTAGGCACTCCAGCAAGCTGACCACCCTCGCTCACCGTTTCAACAGCCCAGAGTCGGCTTTCTCGACCGTTAACCACTCCAGACATCGCCAGCGGCGGGCGGCTTTGAACCCCTTTTTCTCCCATCGCAGGATCGCTGAGCACCAGCCCAACATCCAGCGAATGATGCATCGCCTCACAGATCGCCTCACGCGGGAATACCTGGGCAAAGAGAAAGCGTTACGTATCGATCAAATGTGGGGATGCTGGACGTCGGATATCATCAACGACTACGCTTTCGACAAGCCGCATAATTTTCTTGACGCTCCGGACTTCCACGCGAGCTACACAGATGCCATGGTTGATCTTCTGGAGCCTGTTCACTATATCACGCAGTTTCCCCTCGTGACAAATCTTTTCAAGATGCTCCCGCTGTCGTGGGTTAAGGCAATGTCTCCTCAAATGGGAACTGTGCTAGACTTTAACAACGTTAGTAGTAGCCCAGGCCAGAGATACCGAACGAGCTGACTTTCGGATCATATATGACGTTTTGCTGATGTGTTACACGCTCGACTAGGAAATGACAAACCAGATCCGCATCCTCTTAAACAAGCCGGCAGAGGAAAAGGGGCAATCAAAGACCATTTTTGGCGTCATCCTCGAGTCAGACCTTCCAGCCTCAGAGAAGACGGTTGGCCGTCTCCAGCAAGAGGCAATCAGCGTGACCGGCGCTGGTATCGAGACGACGATGCGGGCCCTCAGTCTGTGCACATTCCATGTCCTGGCGAACCCCCCAGTGCTAGAAAAGCTCCAGGCCGAGCTCAAAGAAGCTATTGTGGATCCCAGAAACCCTCCCGACTGGGATGCGCTCTCTCAATTACCATATCTCTCAGCCTGTATCAACGAAGGTGAGTGCAGTTTATCGACATAGCTGATTACAGGTGAAATCTGCTGACCAAAATCATCCTAAAGCCCTTCGATTCGCATATGGAACGTCTCAGCGACTCCCTCGCACGCTCGAGGACGAGCCTCTCCGTTACGGCGAGTGGCTCATCCCCGTCGGCGCCACCGTGAGCATGGACAATTACGCCGTGTCCCACGACGAGGCTATTTTTCCAGACAACATGACCTTCCGGCCAGAGCGCTGGCTGGGCGACCCAAAGGCTCCTGATGGGAAGAAACTCTCGCGCTACATGGTCGCGTTTGGTCGCGGGACACGCTCCTGCGTGGGCATGCAGCTTGCGTGGGCAGAGCTGTACACGGGCATTGCGACGCTGTTCCGTAGGTTCAAGATGGAACTCTACGAGACTGAGCGGGATGCGATGGATCTGCACATGGACCGATTTGTGCCGCGTCCTAAGCCGCATACTCTTGGAGTGCGGGCTCTGGTTAAAGACGATCTGTATCAGTGACTGATTGCCGGTGGAAAAGACTGAAGATGTTGGAAATGTTTTGGGCGAAATGCTGTGAATCTGTCGTTACCGAGCTCTATAACAATATTCTTCTCACAGAAACTTACCAGCTTCAGTGTATCAATTCTGTGTAGACTCTTCGTCACGCAGAAATGGTGTCTTAATGATCTAGGACATGGATCGGAATTGCTTGGACGCTTAACACGGACAGCATCCAAACAAGGTGCATTGCAACTTAAGATTCTAGATAAGCAAGTGAATGTGTAGTGCTAGGCAATCTGAAGGCCACTAGACCTTTATTTTCACCTCCGTTTTGTCTGTTCAAAACATTTCGGAACGTTCTAAGGGCTAATGTTGTGAGGTGATATTCGTTGTGTTTCATTTGCGACATCACTACAATGTGTGAAAATAATGTTGAAATGATAATCAAGCAAACCGTTATAATAGCTAATTTGAGTTAAGATCCCAAAGAAACCCTGAAGGAGATGATACCAGAGAATAAAAAATGAAACACAGAGTCTAAAACGCAAGAAAGTCTTCATTCCTTCTTCTTCATCTTGGAAACAATCTTCTCACACAGCGCTGTTAGTGACGTGGCGCTCGTGATCTCCAGCGTTGTCAATTCAACTCCGAGATCCAGCCTGACCCAATTTCGCAGCTCTACGGCAGACAAAGAGTCCAAACCATAACTACTGAGTGGCTTGGCAGGTTCCATTGGTTCCGACAAGCGGAGGGTGGCCTGGAATTGCGTGTTAACGACGTCCACAGCGGCCTTCAATACCACCGAGGAGTCTGCACTGGATTGCAGTAACAGCATTAGCGCCTGCACCGCGCGCGATTTATCGTCCTTGCCATCCCCACCAGAGGTGGCCTCGCCGGTACCGAAAGCCAGGCTGACGAAGCGAGCGTCAACAAGAAGGTTCGAGGAGTCCGGCTGCGGCACGGCGATGGAGGTGATAAGTTGAGTGGAGTTGCCCGTCGAAGATGTTCTTTGCTGCTGCTGGATTGAAACGCGGACAATTTGGCGGAACAGGTTCTCATTAATGGGAGTCCAGGCGTCCCGATCCAGAGCCACGCGAAGGTCACTGTGCTCATGCATGTAGCCAACGTCGTCGATGGCACCCAAATCGACCGAAACAGCGGACAGCCCGAGGCCTTGGCGGTATACGGCAAAGGCATCGAGGAAGGCATTAGCGGCTGCGTAGTTTGCCTGACCCTTTTGGCCAACAACACCAGAGACCGAGGAAAGCATAGTGAAGAAGGAGAGATCGAGGCCCTCCTCCTGAGCGACGTTATGAAGGTTCCAGGTTCCGGGGACTTTGCAGGCCACGGCGCCATGGTACTCCTGGGTCGTCATGGAGGTGAAGATTTTGTCTCTCAGGACCATGGCGCCCTGAATGACGCCACTGACGGGAACGCTGGAGGATTTGAAAGCTCTTCGAACGTCTTCCAAAACTGAAACATCGCCCCTGACCAGATCGACCTTGGCACCTTGGGCATGGATGTTCTTCAACACAGCCTGTGACCGCTCATCATCGTAACCGCCACGTGCGAGGATGACGAGGTGCTTGGCGCCTTTTTGGGCCAAGTAGACGGCCAGAGATCCGCAAAGACCTTTCAAGCCACCGACGATGAGGATGGAAGTAGTCTGGGGCAGATCGAATCTGCGTATCGCGGGGCGGACCATCACAGTCGGCTTGTCAGCCTTGTCTTTGGCGGAGAGAACGATCTTGCCCATGTGCTTAGCCGCACGCATGTAACGGAAAGCACCAGCCACATCCTCGAAGGGAAAAGTAGTCATGGGAGCAATGGGCTTGATGGCGCGCTGGCTAATGAGGCTCATCATCTGGCGCATGAGCCTGGCAATGACGATGTCCGATACGTGCTCGTGGGACATATCAAAGCAGCGGTATGAAGCGTTGCGGCCAAACGGCTCCCTAAGATGGTGTCAGTTGTCGGCCTCACGTAAGGAGATAAAATGAATGAGACTCACATGGAGAGGTAATTGCGATCAAGCATATCCCTCTTCCCCAGCTCGACCATGGTGCCGCCATCAGCGATACAGCGCCACGACTCGTCCAAAATATCGCCGGTGAGAGAGTTGAGAATGACATCGACGCCGTGTCCTTTTGTGGCGGCCTTGAGCTGAGCAGCAAAGGCAGTGGTTCTTGAGTTGAAGATGTTCTCTCTGGGGATGCCAAAGCTGTCTACCAAGAAGTCCATCTTCTCATCAGTGCCGACGGTCGCGTAGATCTCTGCGCCAATGAATTTACAAATCTGGATCGAGGCGATTCCAAGACCACCGGATGCGGAATGGATAAGCACTTTGTGCCCGGCCTGTGTGTTGGCAAGATCGAAAATGCTGTAAAGCGCAGTGAGATACACACTGGCCAGAGTTGAGGCCTCCTCGAAAGACATCCAGTTGGGGATGTGGTGCGTTCGCTCAACAGAGGCGATGACCCTGTTTCCAAATGCTCCCTTCTTGAAGACGAGCACCCGGTCTCCTGGCTTGTATATGTTCGCAGCGTTTTTGCCAGCCCGACGGATCTCGCCCGCACCTTCGAGGCCGAGGAGGTGTTGGTTCTCCGGAACAATGCCCATCGTGACGGCGACATCCTTGAAGTTTAGCCCAGCGGCGAACAGTTCAACTTCCACGCTGCCGTCGGGGACAGACAGCTCTGTAGCGGCGACCTCGGTGTACTGGAGAG